GGGGGGGGGGGTTATAATGAGTTTGTGTTATAAACTGACTCCTTGTGCTAAGGAGAGGAGAAAGAATAAAATTATGAACTCACAAAATGTGTAATTACAGGTAGCAGAACTTTTTGCATAACCCCGCAAAGACTTACATATGCTTAAATGTGAATAGTTAAAATGAATGTGATCACTCAGTGCTAACCTTAGATCGCTGAATCAATTTGCCAATGATTGATCAGTTTTCACTACCATTTGTGGGCCATCCTTGGCCTATGTAAATTGAAAATGGGACAGTCTGGAATGAAATTTAACCTTTCCCACTGATACATTGTTAGGGCAGTATAAGTATAGCACACTCTACCAGTTGTGTGAAGAGATGCATCTAGACTCCAAGGCTGTTAATAAATTAACTCTTTTTTTCCATCAAAAGTTTAAAACTTAATCCCTCACTTAACACTCATCATAGCCTAGAACATAAAATGTAGCATTTTGAAATACTGGAGATTTTTGCTAAATAAAACAATAGTACAAATACTAACATAACTTGCAATTTTAGGTCCACTGAACATTAACAATACACTCAACATTCTCTGGAGAAACTTACATCAGAGGATGACATTTTTAATAAAAATTCTCAATGTTGGACATGGGTGTATGTTGTAGCTGTGTTGGTCTAAGGATATAGGCAGACAAGGTTCTTTAAGTAAAAATGGTCTTTTATTAGACCAACTCAAATAGTTGGAAAAATTCTTCTTTCCAAGCTTTCAGGAACAGACACCCTTCACAAAGCAGAGTTGGACATGGCTTTACATATTCAGATTCTTAAACTCAAGTTATGATGCCCTACCAAAAAACAACAATTAACTGCTTCTTCTATTAAGCAACATGCTAGAACCCACAGCACTAAAAACAGACACTGCATGGTGTTATTTATGAATTATTCCACTATCACCAAGTTTTTCATATGGTATCAACCTTTTCACAAGAACACATGCTAACAATGAAAGTAAAATCTCTGATTGGTAACCCAAAAACATTTGACAAACACTGACTATTTTTTACTAATGATTTGTTATTTGGAACTTAATGTTAACTCTACCAAGATGCACTGGTCCCGTGATCTAGCAAGCTGATAATTTACTACACAAGCTGAATCTACATCTGAATCGACTGCAGCACAAACACACCCTGAGGGCTACATGCTGTTCCTTATTCAAGAAACTTGGTAAAACCACTCTCTATCCCTAAGGTGAGTAATCACCACACAAGAGTACTGAAGCACAAAGTGATTGCAGAAAATACAACCAAAAAGGTGATGTCAGAAGTAAACTGCATAATCTAACATTTCCCTGGGCGTTATTTCAAGATTCTGTGATTCAGGCCATCCTCTACTTTGGTGTAGAACATGTCCACATTTATTGATGCCTAATTTTTCCCCTTTAAATCACCTCTGAATATGGCTATAGAGCTTCATTCAAGGGCTAGGAAAGAATAACCAATATACTGAAACTTCAGCTCATAAAGTGGAACTCATTAGTCTGTGATGCTATCAATTTACACAGAGTAAGGGGAGAAAGAAGGGAAAATAGAAGAGCAGGAAGGATAAAAGAAAAAGTCAGGTTCAGTGGAATCATAAGTCCCAACTCTTGAAAGCTGTCAATGTTCTACTTAGACAGAAAAAGATATAGAGATAAACTATGAAGCAAATGAATGGACAAAGGGACCCATAAAGATGAAAATTTTGGATGGGGAAGAAAAGTTAGAAAAATCACAACAAAGGAATAGCATGGGCTAATAACCACCAAGAATAAAACTCATTCCAGTCCAGAGCAGTCTCACACAAGGCCTCTTGCACCTCTAGAAGCTCTATGCAGTGACTACACAAGGCATCAGTCATGTGCAGCATCAAAAAGCTCATTTGGGGATAAAGCAGAGATAATCTGGGAGGGCCAATGATCCACGTTCACATAGATTTAATGTTGTACCTTGCAGCTGCATGAAGTGTGTTTGAAGAATGCAAGATGCAAGGATTTCTTAGGGATATACCTTTTATTGGACCAGCTGCATATCCTAGCTGAGCAGTTGGTCCAGTAAAAGGTAAGACCCTAAGAAATCCTTGCTTCTTGCATTATTCCTGGACCATCACAGCTACAACATCATTCTAAAACTACCAGGATCTGAAGCGGTAATCCTGGAGGATCTTTGGGTAAATGGTTGCAAACAACCTCAATGACCAAAGAAACTCCCTCAAGCCATATATCTCTACAACTTCGAGATATGTCCACCCTACTGCCCCCTCCACTTCTGGCTACAGGCAATCAGGTAGCAACACCCAATGGCCCAAAAACATATCAGCAGCTCCCCATTCAACTGGCTTATCCTAAGCTACTATGGCAGTAACTAAATAGTCCTTATTCCAGAGGAAAACAACACAATAAACTTTAAACTCGGAAATCTCTCTACTTTGTGAAGGATATCTTCACAACCAAAGGAGCTGTGTATTTAGAGCCAGATCCTCAGCTCTGCTGCACTTACATTCAGTGCAAGTGATGGCATGGAGGGACAGAGGTAAAGGTACCTATGAATTCACTTTTCTGCACTCACAGTCCAGAGCCAAAATATTTCCAGAATCACTTAAAGCAGACAAAATACCATATGTACCTTCCCATAAAGAATTAACCATATTGATTTCAACTGCATCTTGAGGGGAAAGATAACATTAGTTTCCCCCAAAACTTAGGCAGAAAGATAACATTAATAATGCTCATGGACAAAAAAAAGTCCATGTTTCAAGAACATACCACTATAAACAATGAAGAGTAAACAACAAAATCAAGAACTATGAAAAAAATGACAGTGCCTTTTTCAATAACTACAAAACACTATCACTATGGAAAGGTCTCTCTGGTGTATAGATTTCAGAAAAGAAAAGTATAGCCTGCCTCAAGTATAACTATAACGGCTGTCATGTTTTGTAGCTTCTTTTCCATTATTTATTCTCAATGTTTTTGCAGTACAGCCGGAAATGTCGTCATTAATTCAGAGAAACTATTCTGAATACCAAAAGTTGTATTCCTAACCCCTTTTCAGTGCTGAGCATGGAGGTCTGGGAACATAGGGTGCAGACAAAAATGACAATTTACACCCAATCTGGCCACAGAAAGCAGCCTACAGCCATGACCAAACAAGTGCATGGCTGCAGACCACTTCAAAAATGGCTGATGGGGTGAAAATCTGAACCCTTATTGCATAAAGGTTCAAATGAAGACATTTCAAAATACAGCATTTTCTGTAACTTCTGTCTGCACTGCCTGCTGGCTTGTTGCTGTTTTCAGAATGGGAGCAGGGAAAAGGAGCAGAGAGAGTTTGGCCTGGAGTTTTTTCAGGTCCCACTGAAGTGTCGGGTGGGTGTATTGGAGCATCCCCTCCCCGAAAGTGAGGGGGCTCCAATTCACCCATCCCATCCTCCAGTGCTGGCTGGGGAACTCCTAGAATGAGCTCCCTCTACTCCCTTTCCCCCTCCCATTCTGCAAACAGCACAGGCTCAGAGGGAGGAAGAGTCTTTGCTAAGGGAAACTGGCTGCAGGCTCCCAGTCAGCACCTAGATTTCCTTTCCC